ACACGAACACAACACACACCACCCACACCCACACACGCCCGCACGCACAAGGAAACATAACGCAGACAGATCAAAGAAACAACCCACTACTTCGAAATATCAAGTTTCAAGCAGAAGGCTTGCTCGTGTCGTTCAGCGCTACCTCTGTTGCATTATCTCCAGATGAGCCTCCTGCGCTGGAGTCGAGTTGCAGGTCAGCAATTCGCGCCTCCACGGCTTCGTCACCCGACCGGTCCCCCGACATGGCAGAGTACGGATCGCCTCCTCCGGGCGAGTTCTTGGACGATTGCCCCTTCTTTTCCATGGCCTTACTGACCACTTTTTCGAACGTGTCCTTGATCCATGTCGAAGTCGTCTGAATCGGCTTGCTCTTGATGACCGCAGTCCCCATCTCGTTCACCTTATCCTCAGCCTGGCTGAAGAACCCCCTCGTCTTCTCTGTCACGTGGAACTTCTCATCCACCTCCCTCAACTGCTGATTGAGTCCTTGCGCGCTGGCGTGCAGGCGTTCCGAGAGCCCGAGCTTCCTGTCCAACGCCTCCGCCTTCGCGGCCGCGGATGCCGTGATGTTATGCTTCTCATCGAAGGCCTTCGCCTTGCCCGCGGCGTCCTTCCCCAATGTGTAACCCTTAGCGAGCATGGTAGAGATCATCTTCTGCGCACGATTAAGCCCTTGCTCGGCGGCTTGCGCGATCCCCGCAGTGGAAGACGCGCCTCTGGCGACATCGTCCGCCGCGGAGGCGTCATGACCTGGAACCTCCTCAGGACTAGCTTCTTTAATTTCCACCGCCTCGTCGACAATCTTCGCCCCCGTAAGCAACAGAGCCGTGTCTAACGCTTTCGGGCTCTTGAAAACGATGAAGCATGTCTGCAGGCCGCTGGCATCTGGAGACAGATGGACGGTCTCTATATCCCCAGAAAAACTGAAAAACTCGCGCAAATCCTTCTCCTTTGCATTCATTGACACCCCCGTCACCTTAATACAGTTCGACATCTCTCTCTCTCTCTCTCTCTCTCTCTCTCTCTCTCTCTCTCTCTCTCTCTCT